TTGGCTTTTTTTAAGTACGGCCGCGGATGCCCGCGCGTGTCGACGGGCGCTCCGTCTTCTGCTGACATGAGCCGGATTGGCTGGCCCTGCGATTTGCGTCGTGCTAAGCTATGGATTTCGTTGACAAGTACGCTGCTTAAAGGAATCTCTGCATCGCCAAGAACCCTGAAAAGGCAGCGCTTGGTTTCGTCAAGACGCAGTAAGCAGCAGCCAGGTTGCCACCCCCGCCCCCGCCACACAGAAGCGGAGGAAGACCGGCCCGACCAACGCGATCCGACTGGTACGTTCATAACCTACAGGGAAATAGTGCAGCCTGTTAGGACAGCCACTGAAGCAGCCTATAATTTACGCAATCTGTCTTCCTAAAGCGTCTTGCTTTGGAATGCACTACCGCATTCAGCAGTGGAACCCTTTAAATGGCCCTCACTAAAGTTGTTGATGGAAGATAATTGTGGTAAGAGTGATAAAGTCAGTTGCTGCTGTTCATAACATCTCTGTAAACAAACCCCATGCATTTGGAATAGAGCTAGCTTAGCGGTCGTACATGATGTCGTTACTAATAAGCAGTGAGGAATGAGTTCTGTTGGAATCATTGAGATCGTTATACTTGAGTCATATCGATCGCATTGTTGTTGTGAGCGGTGAAGCGGATTTTCCCATGTTACCTTGTCACTTTTAGCTCCTATCACTTCCGTACCCGCCAATAATATTCCCGTCCCGTTTCACTATCATATCACCCTATATCGGATCCGAGGTCCCACTGTTGCTGTAACCTGCGTTACGAATCTGATGACCCTCCCCTTCCGAGGCCGCTTACCGTATCTTATCAACTGTTATCACTTTCTGTCGCCCGCCAATAATGTTCCCGTCCCACCCTATATCACCTCACGGATCTGAGTTCCCACTGTTGCTGTAACCTGCGCCACGAATTTGATGACCCTCCCTTCCGAGGCCCCTTATCGGATCTTATCAACTGTTATCACTTTCTGTCACCCGCCAATAATGTTCCCCCCACACCCTATATCACCTCTCGGATCCAAGGACCCACTGTTCCTGTGAGCCGCACTATGAATTTGGTAGTCCTTCCCTTCTAATGCCCATTATCAGATCTTATCAGCTGATATCACATCCTGTCACCTACCAATAATGTTTTCGTCCCACCCCCTATTTCACTGCTCGGAACCAACGTCCCACTGCTGCTGTGGCCCGCACTATGGACTGGGTGACCATCCCCTTTGGACGCCTCTTATCGAATCTTATCAACTGATATCACATCCTGTCACCCACCAATGGTGTTCCCGTCACACCCCCTCCATCACTTCCTGGAATCAACGCTTCTCTGCTACTGGGACAGGTGTTATGAATTTCGTGACACACACACACACACACACACAGACACACTTTGCGGATTATATATAGTAGGATGCTTCCATACTGTCCCCTACTATGTACACATTGTGACCATTGCCCCAATGTAACGCTGAAATCTATCCTTTTGTCCATTCTTTTCTCGGGGTTAGTACCAAAAATCTCCATAACCCTCACACGAAAATTCAGCACCTGTAAGAGCAGCCTTCGAAGCATCCTACCGCTCAATGCGTTCTCCACCACTGTAGGGTTTTTTTCTGGAATGCACTCCCGCATTCGGCAGTGCGCTTCGAATGGTCCTCTCTCGGGTTGTTGATGGAAGATAATCATGGTCATAGTGATAAAGTTAGTTGCTGCAGTTCATGGCAACTGAGTAAACAAACCCCCCCGAATCTGAACTCGCCCGTCAGTGCCATATGGAACTCCAGCCGCATTTAGCGCCGTACATTGATGTCACAAAAGGATAGAAGGTTAGGAAGGAGGTTGTGGTGGCGAGATCACTGAGTAGCCTGACACTTGATCGATCAATCACATTGGTCGCTTTAAGCCGGTGTTGCGGATTTCGGATGATGACACTTTGAACTGCTTATCAAAAAACCGTGTTGCTCACTATTAGTGTCACCCGTGCACTGAGGTGTCTGAGCCTACCCTTATACCACTTCTTGGGACCATGGTCCCACAGACCCTGCATGCAACCTGGCCCACGAATTTGGTGACCCACTCCGCATCTGAAGCCCCTTATCGAATCTTATCATATGTTATTGGATCCTGTCAGCCCCCCCCCCCCGTCTCTACTGGTGTAGCATCTCGGAACCAAGGTCTCAGCTCACTGCAGCCGATTGTTAAGAATTATCGGCGTCCTAGAGTCCTTTACGAAATCTTATCAACGTGTTTATCATCTGCCACCCCCCCCCCACTTATGTCCATCTAAATTCCCCTGCCAACTTCTTGAAATTCACGGGTCCACGCAAGGCGCTTGCAAGGCTTGACGATACGAATGTTGGTCACCCTCCCCTTTCCAATGCCCCTTATCGAATCTTATCAGGTGTTGTCACCTGTCACCTCCTGTCACCCACCAAAAGTGTTCCCATCCTGCCGTGAACATCACTTCTTGGAATCACGGTCCTGCAGCTGCTGCAACTTGCGCTAAGATTTCGGTCACCCTCCCCTTCTAAGGCCCCTATCGAAATGCTGATCAGGTGTTTGGCACCGTGCCTGTCACCCACCAAAAAGTGTTCCCATCCTGCGCGTTGTATATCCACTTCTTAAATACGGTCTGAGCTGCTGCCAACGTTGCGCGATTTCGGTCACCCTCCCCTTCTAAGGCCCCTTATCGAATCTTATCAGTGTTATCACCTCCTGTCACCCACCAAAAGTGTTCCCGTCCTGCCATGTATATCACTTCTTAGAATCACGGTCCTGCAGCTGCTGCAACTTGCGCTACGACTTTGGTCACCCTCCCCTTCTAAGGCCCCTTATCGAATCTTATCAGGTGTTATCACCTCCTGTCACCCACCAAAAGTGTTCCCGTCCTGCCGTGTATATCACTTCTTGAAATCACGGTCCCTGCAGCTGCTGCAACTTGCGCTACGATTTTGGTCACCCTCCCCTTCTAAGGCCCCTTATCGAATCTTATCAGGTGTTATCACCTCCTGTCACCCACCAAAAGTGTTCCCGTCCTGCCATGTATATCATATCTTGGAACTGTCATCCTATCTTTTCTGTGACGCTCGCTATGAATTTCGTGACAGACAGACGGACGCACACACACACACACACACACACACACACACTGACAGACATACTTAGTGAATTATATATAGTAGGATTCTCCAGATCAGAGATCCACGATCTTTTGTGTTGGCCTCCATAGTAACGATGCGGGTCTTCGCATTGCCGAGCGGTAGAGAAAAATTGAGTATTTTTGAAGAATTCAAGCGTGACGTCATCCATGTTGTGAGGTTGGTTAGAGTGGACTGTAGTCCTTACCGTTATGCTAGTATCCAGAGATACCGCTTTGAAGTCCCACCAATAACCTACTGAAATCTTTATCCCATGCACATCTGCTTTTGGCTGTGCAATCTACTTTTCTGTTGAGAGATCCTGCGAGGAACATGTGCAAGATGTACGCAAGGACCCCACCACTCTCTACCAACCACAAGATCTCACAAATGTTCCTCCAGTGTGTACAAGGAAAAAAACTCAGTCACGGTCATTCGGTATGACTTGTCAGAGGGGTTCAACTCATGAGGCATCCTTCATAAAAATTTTTTTCGATAACCGAGACTGCGGAGAAGCATGGCAGTTGTCAGTTAGGTGGAGCCTAGAGAGGTTGCCAACTTACTGGTGGTTACGTTCGGCTGCGCCTCAAGAAGCTTGAGTAAAGGGCCGTCATTCTGTGCTGGTGGCCGACCTATACATTGCCTACTTCCGAGTTGAATAAGTCCAGCTGGAAGCGCTGATGCAAAAGGAACTCTCTGCTATGGCAAGCGATATCCTTCCTCAAGACAACGTAAGTGTTAGCTTCCTCGACTATGGCGGAGTTGCCCTACAGGAACTCATAATATGGGATAGGTCGAGAAGTACCTCGATCTCTGAGGTATTTTTAAGCTTTGAAAACTTCCACGGAGCCATGATATACCCATTTTCAGAAACCCCAGGAGACAGTCTCCACTAATCAGAGATAAAAACATTCAAAATGATTTTTGGTCTTTTTCTAGAATAGTTCAAACAAAGTGTCGCAGGACTTTTCGAACAACCTAATAGATCGGAAGCAATCAAATATCGGTCAAAATAGTTGAATAGTGAAGAGGACATGTGAGGTTATGGTTGGAGTTCAGTCAGATACGAAATTTCATTACATCTCAGTCTGCTTCTGTTCCCTCTTCCACTTTTGCAGGTTATACCCTTTGCTCATCTTTCATCCCAAAAATGAACTACAGGATTAGAGTAGTAGGAGTAGGAGATGTTTAAAGTCCTAACATGCAAAGACCCTCGTGAATGCCAAACCCTTAGTGAAGCTGTATAGATGACTGGGGAGGATAGTTAAGAGTTGAGTAGAACACAGGACGCTTGCTCACGGGATTGCGTCACAATCTCAGCTGCTAGAGCCGTTAACGTTGAGGAACATGGCTAAAAAAAAAACTACTCGAAGAGCAAAAAATATTGTACTGTTATTATATTATTATTACTGGATCGAAACGCTGGCGTCAGAATGGGAAGGATATGCCTACCGAAATACTGCCTTCATGCATAAATATCATGCACATTTGTACTGACACTATTTCAGCCTCATTCGTGAAATACAGTTAAGACCGGATGACGGGTAGTGCTGCAGACATTCATGCATCACGCATACAGTCGCATGTATATGTAGGAGCGGCGATGGATGTCAACGGAAACCCGGTCGAAAATGCACTGTCCCCTGCCACGAAACTGTCCACCGATGCTGCTTTAACGAAAGTGCAGCTTTTGCAAGCGTCTAAGACCAATTCATTTCGTTCTCACACCATTTCACACTTCCGTTGCCATTTAGACTTCCACTTCGTAAAAAGTCGAAGCCTAGTACTAGCTTGTTTTATAAGATAATCGAAGAACTTTGAAAACACCCTACCTTTGTGGTTACTGAAGCCTTAAACAATTAGCCAGTTCTTTTCACGATTACTGAGCAAAAACGAAGGCAACGATTGACGAAGGCCATCTTTGATTTGAATCGGATTGTCTTCTTTCCAGCCATACTCTTGAAAAAGATTCATAACTTCAAATCGCTACCCACTGAAACTCTAGAGCTATTCTCATACCAATATCTTTTGTAGTATAAGCGTAAGAAGCAAAGTCTACTACACAAGTCTGCACGTCAAGCGGATAATCAGCCAGCCTGAAAAGGAGATCACTTTGAAAATAGACAGTCTTATTATCAATCAAGCCATTATCTCCAAAAACGAGAGGGCATGTAAGGAGTTGTGGATTGCAGCGCAGCCACGGCAGCGTTTTCCGCCACTTAAAGGCAGTTGGCACGATGATTTGGCGCTCGGCCTAAAATGCCAGTAGGGCGCTATATAGTGGAAACAATTGATGAAAGAACCGGAGTGAAAACGTATCATAAATCCTGCGAAGGAGAGCCTTCCGTTCTCAATGCTGGTTAGAAATCAATTTGACGAGTTTCCTATGGGGCCCCATCTTGCGCAAATAAACCGCTTACCGAAGCGTACGGCTTGCCATAATGTGTAACATATATCCATTGCAGCATCATGCCGTTCCTTCTCATACCAAATTCCTTCGCCTGTCATAATTTGCCTTTGGCAACTGACGATCAGATTTAGGAGGCCAGTACGAAGGACAACGGTTCGTCCATTGTTGGGACGGGCGGGGCGGACTTTTGGGTCGGATGTTTAGGCGTTGAACCGTCACGCTCTATAAGGCATTTCCCTGCAAAAAAGCATTAATGCCAGGACTGCTCAGAGTCCCGGGAATTCCGTGCTGCCAGGCGGTATTAATTTTCCTAACTTTATTTCGTCGTTGCGGGAATTCTATGCGCCAACTGCTTTTACTAGCCTTCCTGCGGCCCGCCAGCACATAGGTGGGAGACACTGCCTCGACTGCGGTTCAATCCTACACCCCCCTCTCGTTTCAGAATAAAGTGAGTATAGCCCATTTCGGTATCACAACTACAAGGAGATAGCATTTTTATACGACCATGCGTATGGTAGAAAATTGCGTTTGTGGAGAGAGACACAGCAATCAAAAAGTTTTCATAAGACATCTCCACGGGCCTATTTACTAGCTATACTACAACGACGATGTGCCCGGGTGCCAATATCAACCCTCAAGCGAGATTTGGAGGTAGTTTCGGGAGAATAATGAAGCAACTTCAAAGCGGCCCAGCCAGGCGGTAAGCACATTACCATTTATGTCGCTCACCTCTTTCTACAATGGACAGCGTCCACGAAAGTTAGTGTGGACGCATCGCAAGATTAGTGAAGAAATTGTCTCACCTCATCGGACAGCTGAGAGTAAGGGTTAGCCGACAAGAGTACAGTATCTTTCCAGTGCCATTGTGAATTCGAATGAGAATGTTTGGTGTATCGATGTCGTGCTTCTTGCCGTCTTTCTCGTTTTGAAAGAATGTGTCAGGCACCTGAATTCAAAGTAGTTACCGTTCTAAACGAGTATCTCAAGTCAACTCGCAACTTCATGTACTTTGCCGCAGCGTGGACTCCCCCCTGCCTCTTGACACGGCGCCGACTGATTGCGAGAATATTAAATGTAAATCCTCGGCTTTGTCTGCCCTTTCTTCGAGGAGCTCAAAGTTCAAGAAGAAGCCGTCATTTTGTACTCAACTAGAACACTAGAACATCGCTTACCCATATCTTTTGTCCAGGCGATAGGACGATGTGCTTCAACCTGGGACTATTGAAATAGAGCCGTTCGTCTACCCATTCTTCTCGAAACGTAAAGTGCAACGAGTACTCCATATTGACATCGTCAACTTTGGAAATGCTCCTAAAACGAGTATCAGAAATCCTGCTCAACGGTTATTCCCCTCTAACTCTTGAATTTCATGGAAATCTCCTAAAATGGACCATCCAAGTGTTTCTCTCTGTGAGGTCGGCCATGAAGACATTCCGCGATAAAATGGGCGGTGACTTCCAGCTGTGCTTTCCACATCACCGCACCCTTCCTGTTGCGAGGAAAAGCGCACCAACGATAAATGTGCAGTGGTTGCGGGTTTCGGCTCATTCGGCCCATTCGATTAACGCGGAATGTGCCTATAGATTACTCCAGAGGGAAAGTTGGTAAATTGAGCACAGCGTGCCTTCGTTGCACCAAACTCCCACTAAAGTGTACCTACATATGCCCAATGTGAACTGAATTTTGCCAAATTCCAAGGATCTTCGGCTAATATTGTGATCTTTTGCTAAGATTGAAGTCATGGGAGAGGGGTGCCAAGGGAACTCAGTCTGGCTCAACGTTGCTCAACGCAAGTTTGAGAAGAAAGCAGCACTCAATATTGCCCCCGTAGATCAGTCACCCCATTTCACTTCAATTTTCTGTTTACTTGTTGCAGCTATTGAATATTCTTTCCGATGTCGCAAAACGCCACGAGTGTTTACGCAATTTAAATTGTTAATTAAGGAAAAAAGTGGCTCGACCCACTCTCATTCATAATTTATTGTGTTGGGAATAGGATGACGTCAAAACAGTTCTACTCTGACCACTCAGATTCTTTAATGGAACATGGAAAGCTGTGTGCAGCAGAACAGAACACAAGGTAATTAAAAACTAGAAGGATTAGGAAGCGAGCGGCAGAAAGAGGGATTTTTCCAAGAAAAATTAGGAATTTTTTCAAGACAGGTAAAGAACCATGCTCGCTAATTTTAGCACTACCCTGGCGAGAGGGCCGGAGAGTTGCACATCACGTGCACGTAGCCGATCCCGGTAGGATTATTCGCTCTTGGTTGGTGGGGACACTATAGCCAATGTCACATCAGTGCCTCGAACGGAGCGGTCCACGATGCCTATCAAAATTCAAAGATTGTGCCGTGTGAAGGCAGATGTTCCGCGGGTGTGTGTGGACAACCTTAGTCAGTTCGGCTGGGTGAAAAGTGTAAGTAACAGCAGTTGAGGGCGCAAGGTTGCTCCCAGGGCAATTCCTTTGTACAGTGACTTTACTTCCAGACTCCGTCTCAAAGCTTGCCTCCCTGTCCGGACACGTAGCTTGAAATGGATGCACCATTCTCCCATGTGGGGTCATAGGGTTCACTGCTGGGAATCAGCTGACTCGACTCTCCTAACACGGATCTTTTGAGCTTTCACCCGTACAATTGTTGGGAGCTGGAGGGGGCCTATAAAGGCGCTGCTGACTTTCCTTTTCTCTTCACAGACGAGTCACTTAACAACTTCTCTTTCATATTTCAACAGCACTACCTTGCTCCTAATCGCGGACCGGGCCTTTAATCATTCTTTTTGAGCAGGGCAGGTGGTACATGTGCGATTTCTGCATGTCCGCCGAGGAGATTCTGTTTATCAGGTATTCGTAAAATGGCCTTCAAAAATATAATAGTGTGAAACACTGATGTACCTCAAATACATGTTGACTGTGATCACTACTGGTTCGTTATCGTAATCTTCGTCGTCGGAAACACCGAGACGGCCACGTGGACGAACTCGCCAGTCGTAATCGTTGTACGGGTTCTCTAGTAGGTGCTTGATGATCTTCTGCTCATCCAATAGCTTCTCGTACCTGAAATTGACTTTTAAACAATTAGAAGCTTTACACTGGTGTACAATACTGGGTTCAGGCTCAGGTTTATCAATGAGATCTCGGATTTTCAAGAAAATTAGAAGGCGTACATCTCTTGCAATCTCGAAACACTTGCTTTCGGGACAGAGATAAATTTGAAGAAGATCAAAGACTGACTGGGGCCCGAACACTCCCTTATAGTTTCCTTGAGGGAGTGGGGGTTCTCCCGGCGGGTAAGCCTCTTTTCATGTGAGAACAGTCGCGACCTGTGAAATCACAGTGGTCATCAAACGCTATTACAGGAGAGCGAAGAGCAAAAAAAGGGTCTACGGAAGTTACAGGACTGTTGTCAACCAAACGTCGTCTCGCTGCGAGGGTCCAGAGGTACTTTCTAATCGCATCTACTGGTCGAGCATCCAAAGGGAGAAGGAGAAGGAAAAGGGAAAAGAGAAGGAAGGGAGGGAAAGAAGGAAGAGTGAAGAGAAAAAAAGGGTGAGAAGGGATACTTCGCGGTTGACAACTACCTGGGATGGTCTGCAAACAGCTCGAACTCAATTGCTTCTGTTTTTCTTCGTGCGCTCACGTCTGCGTGACATTCTACTACTACTTTGACCTTACACATCCAACTTTCTAAGCATCTTAAA